CTGTGTCCGTTGGTTATGCTCATATGCATGCACACAAGTCCTTTGGTTGATCTCTGACCACCGTCCCCCTCCCCTGCCTTCCCTCATCAGTTGGACAGTCTGTTCGATGCTTCTATGTCTCTGGTTCTATTTTTGTTCATCCGTTTATGTTGTTCAGAAAAGACTCACTTTGAATTTATTGTTTTAAGTTTAGAAGTCATGATAGAAACAGTTGGAAGAACATGAGATGGAGCTAGACACAAGCTGAGAATTAGAGATGATTTAAGGGCTGGCAATAAATCTAGTGACTGACAGAGCCTATGGGAATACGTAAGCATGGGTTCTTTCCTTTGCAGCATCCTGTCCGACCGGACTTTATTCCTGCATCGGAATAAAATTGCTCGATGAGATATGGGTGCAGGGAGTCTGAGAACTGCGTGTGCTGAGAGGGATGTCGGAAACTTTTGGAAAGGAGGACGAGAATTATGATGCAAAGAGAGGGGGAAGTACATGGGCCTCACAAGACGTGCCTAGGGGATGCTACCATCTGCTGATTTAATGTTGTCCTGTGAGTTTCAGCAAGTGGAACCCATTTTTTAAAAAGCCGCTCTAAAAGTGACATTTCTCTGTAAATCAGATATGAAAAAAAAAAAGAAAGGAGACACCCCTTAGCATTTCCTCAGCCAAGTCTCTGCCTCCCATTCATTCTCAGCAGATTCCATTGACTTTTCTACCAGCCTGCCTCTTCCGAGCACACGAGCACACGCCGGCCCTCTCTTTACTTTGCTTATCTCAGTGATGGCGAACCTTTTGAGCTCGGCGTGTCAGCATTTTGAAAAACCCTAACTTAACTCTGGTGCCGTGTCACATATAGAAATTTTTTGATATTTGCAACCATAGTAAAACAAAGATATATATTTTTGATATTTATTTTATATATTTAAATGCCATTTAACAAAGAAAAATCAACCAAAAAATGAGTTCCCGTGTCACCTCTGACACGCGTGTCATAGGTTCGCCATCACTGGCTTATCTCCTCCTGTTCGGTGTCTGCAGGTGCCCGGGGTGCTTATAGGAAGCATAGTATCTGGGAGGTGCGTGAATTCGCCTGCAACGCAAAATGCGTTATCTCGAGGTTGTCACCAGTAACTGATGTGGAAGGACAGAGTGTCCGGGGGGTTTCTGGTTTGCACGCATAGAGCCTCAGGGTTGTACAGGGGGAAGTTGTCTACTTTTGATAGAAAGAGCTGAAGTGTTGCGGTCAGAGATGCCTGAGCCGACTCCTTAGCGCTGCTGTTTTCTATTTTGTGGCTTCAGGCTCAGGACTTGCCGTCCCTGAACCAGGTAACTGCATCTGAGAGTGTGGATAATGGTCTCCATGTAAATTGCAGGCTGTTGTGGAGACGAAGCAATACCACACAGGTGAAGGTCTTCGCTTGCTGCCTCATTCACGCTGGTATCCACCCACAGTCCATCATGTCACTCTTCCTAAACTTACAAACATTATGGTTGTCTGTGTGACAGGAAACACATTCTGGGTCGTAACCCTGTAAAGGCTCGGGACAAACTTCACAGCCAATGGTAGAAGGTGCTGGGGCGCTGGGATGGGGTTTCTAGCAAAGGTTGCAAACTGGAAGCTCCTGGTGTGCTAACTTCAACTCACGCATTGTTTACCGTGAATGAAAATGTTAAATTGAACAATTAAATTAAACACTGGAGACCTTCCCTCTGCAGTGTGGATTACAAGCCTGTCAGGTGGCACAGGTCTCCCACCATTCCGGGCGGCCCCCAGCAGTGGTGACTCAGATGCAGGTCCCAGTCTCAAGGTGGCATGTTGTATCCACAGTGAGGTGCAAATCAGGCTTTGTGAAGAGAGAGGGGGCTTTCTACATTTCTAGAGGTTTCCTTGAACATATAGAGAGCCAGGCTAGATCAAGCAGGATCAAAACCCTGGTGCTGAGCAGGCAGAGGAAATGACTTGGAGAGATGTCTACCAGACCGGAAGAGGAAGTTGAAAGCGTTGCCGCGGGAGATGGGAGGGCACCTCTGCCAGGGTAGAGCCAGCGTTGAGCATCTCAGCTTGGTCACTGAGAAGTGACCGCCACCCCACCAGGCTTAAGCAAAACTGGGGCAGGGGGTTGATGAGGCATCAGAAACCCTCCCAGGAAGCCCAGAAGGCTGGGGGAGAGTCAGCGCATCGTGGCTCATTCTCTGCTTCCACTGTGTGGCCCAAGGGTTGGAGGTGGCGGAACAGCCAGAGTCGAGGGTTTCTCATGGCCCAGAGTCCCCTGTCTGCTCTGGTTAGAGGCCCCCAAGGTGTTGAAGGCAGCAGTGTCTGGCATAGACCTGTGGCCAGGGCAACGAAGCCAAGGGCCTCAAAGCACGGGGACCCGATGATGTGAGGGGTCACAGGAACTCCCCTTAGGATTTGCCAGGAGATGCCAGCAGGATGCTCAAGGAGGACCGTGAGATTAGCCACACCTAAGTAAACAACAGCCCGGGACCTTTAAGCACAAGACCAGCTTGTAACGAAGGACCCCTGCCACGAGGGTATTTCAACTTCCTCCACACCCAGATACCATGTTGGGAAGGAGGAGGGGACCAGTGACCCCTTGAGAGGGGGTAGAAACAGCCTTTGAGTTGACTGGGTCTTGACCCGAATGAGGCTGAGTTCATCTCAAAGTGAAATGTTCCCAACAAGAGCAGAGTAAGTTACCCTGAACGGGTGACTTTTCTTTTTCTCTGACAGGAGAGGGCCACGGGGACTCCAGAACAAGAGAACACTGAGAGGGGAGTTTCGCTTTTCTCAACCTCTCTGAGTGGTCTGTGTAAAGGTTGGTGCCTCTCCTTGACTTCCTCCCGAGGTCGACTCTTTACGCTGGACTTTTCCCTTTGAACCACAGGGTCCGATTGGGGTGGTGGATGAATCTCGTCTAATACAATGATTACTTTTACCCATTACATTATTTCTAATATAATGACATGGAAGGAATTTCATACGGAAAGAAAAAAATCCATATGCCCTCTCCCCTACGGCAAGGACGTGCGCCTATTTTTTTTTTTCATGGTTTCCTTATCCACGTTATTAAAATACTGGCTGACAGATTGGCCCACGCCTCTGACTCAGAAAGACTGCCCTACTAGATTCAGAGTGTGTCCCGGGTCACAGAGAGGAAAAGAGAGATGAGCTGATTACCTGACATTGTCATATCGCTTCAAGGTTTTGCTTACTTGGGAGACCTTCCAATGCGTGAAATGGGACATTCTTGGATGCTGTTCCGATTCAACAGTGTTGACAGGATTTCACTTGGTTTCCTACTTCTTAGCCTTTGCCCTTATACAAAACCCCAGGACTCATGGGCCTGCCTCGCCATCCTTTCTCTGGTATCCTAGACCCCGATTCTGGGGCTCTAGACTTCTTTGGAACATTGACATTGTGATATTCTTGGAAGAATGTTGCAGATGGAATCCCCAGGTCTTTCTAACTGAAGTCCTAAAGAAGGGATTTTAGCTTTGCTCACCTCTGCATAGTCCTCCCCACTGCCCCCTGGGTTCTAATGCCCGTGGCATTGTAAGAAAGTGTTTTACCTGGACTGGGAAGTGAGCAGTGAAGGAAAACACATTCCCCTCAGATGTGTATTGCTCTTGATTGGGAAGTAGATGCTGTTCTCAACAGGTGCTTGACCCATTTACCTGGAACTCTAAAGAGACAGGTCATACCCACCCACATCCATGAGTAGCGAGATGCCCTAGTGCAACAAGACCACCTGCCAGGGCTAACTTAGATGTGATACAGTGGGGCCTTGACTTACGAGTGTCCCGACTAACGAGTTTTTCGAGATATGAGCCGGCTCTCTTGGCCGATTTTTTGCTTTGAGTTGCGAGCTAAAATTCGGGTTACGAGCCAGCTTCAGATACCCCACCGCTAGTTGGCGCAGCGAACGTCACAGTGAACGCCACAACATCAGGCCAGCATCACGTGTCTGACTCGTTCACTTTAAGATTTGACATACGAGTAATTTGAGTTACGAGCTCTGTCACGGAACGAGTTAAACTCGTAAGTCAAGGCCCCACTGTATTATGGATTGCGAAACCTACCGTGGGAAATGAAAGCAGCTGGTATTGTGAGGGACCATTCTGTCGTCCCCCCACATATCCCCGGTGCAGTTCCCTCAGTAGTCCACAGTGTGCAGGTGTTTTCAGAAGAGCCTTGGATGGTGCGGGCCTCGGGGCCACATGAGAAGCACTCAACACGGGTGATAATGCGCCTGTGGGCTTTTCAACGGTGAAGAAAGAGGGGGCACTTCTGAGATGAGCCCTGGGGAAGAAAATGGAGAGGATGCTGAATAAAATCCAGACACAAAATTTATGGGCAAATAGGTAAAATAAGACTTTATAGTTTTTTTCCCCCACTGAAAACTCAGTTTTTTTTTGTTTTGTTCCTGAAGTCCGCAATATTAGTTTGCCTGGCATTACCAGATGTTAAATTACACTGACTGAATAATATGGGGAAATCAGATCATGATAAACCAGGTTGGCATCATTTCTAATTTCTATCATGACTTATGAATGATTTAGAACCACTTTTAGTTTCCAAATATACAAAAGTATTTTGGGCTATTTTGGGAGGAGGGTATTGAGTTCTCGTTTTATTGTATTGAGGGTCAAAGAATATAGTCCATATGTTTTGTCACTTCTTTGATATTTACTGAGATATCCTTTATGGCCTAGTATGTGTTCAAGTTTTGAAATGTTTCTTGAAAAGAATGCAGATTATTTAAGAGTTGAGATAACATTCTAAATATGTGGATTTTATAAAGCGTCTTAATCATGTTGCTCAAATATTGCTCATTATTAATTATTTGGTCACTTGATCAACCAGTTTGTAACAGATGCATGTTAAAATAACACTTTACGAAATTTAATTTTTCATAATTCTATTGACTTTCACTTTATATGAAATTACTGCTTTTGGAGGTCAGTCAAATATGGACAATTTTATATGGCTCAACGTAATATTTTAAGGCTATATTGCTGATATTTGTTGTCTTTAGTTGCTTATGCTTTTCTGATATAGTATGTGATAGCCTTCCTTGTTCCTAAATAATAATTTTTTCTTTTAAAGTCTATTCTATTTGATACTTACATGATTAGAACATCTTTATTTTGATCAGTATTTTTCTAGTATAAACTATGTATCTTTATTCTGACTAAGATCTACTTGTACCAATGTCTGGCATATTACTTTTCCTAATTATTATACCTTTTCTTTGCCCTCCCACCCTTATTCCTGACTTTTTCAGTGAACTATATCTTCTTTCATCTACTTACTCCCTCCATCTACACTTTTGGAAGTTATATATTCTATTTCTATAATCGTCCTACCAAGAGTCTCAACTCTGAGGACTTTATTTTCCTCCCAGGTAAACTCACCTGAGCTCCAGGTGTGTTCTAGAGTGTGTGTGAGAGACACAGAGAGACTTACACTAAAATAGTACATTTTTTCTTCTACTTAAAAATATCTATTTGCATAAGATGATCAATATGTCCATTAAACATTATTACTCCCTATTCACTAAACAAGTTTCCAAATGATTACTATTTGAAAACAACTATGAGCTCACATATGTATGGAAAAGAATTGTAACAGATTTCTTGAAAAAGTAGTAATTCATAGACTTCATTAATGCTCAGATGATGTCATTCATTCAACAATATATTGAGTGCCAACCTGCCCTGGACCCTGAGCCATCCATTCCAAAGTAGGGAATTTCCTCATGGAATGGAGCAAGTAGAAAGAGCTGTTTTTCTTGAATTTCTTTTTTTAAAGTCACTTGATGATTTTACTGATTTAAGAGAGTAGTTTAAGTGCAAACATGAGGACAGAAACAGAGGAGATGACGTTTTCAGTCACCAAAGACAAAATGTTCCTTCACTGTTAAAGTCTAAGAGACTTGAACTAGAAATGAATCATCTATGATGATCTTAATAAACTCTATTGATAAACATGGAAGGAAAATGCAAAGCCGTGAGTGTGTTTATTTGACCTAGAAAAGGCCTACTGGGGGTGGGGGGCAAATTTTGTGGTGTGTTCTTTTATTTAGTGATCAGAGACAAAAATGATTCTTTTTATGAAAGCATATAAATCTCTAAGCAGCTTTCAAGAGGAAACAAAATTCAAATGAAATCATGGAGATTTGGCTCAGATTTTCCAAAGAGGTAAAGAATGTCATTGATAAAACTACTGGGACATCCTCAGTGCAATGGGGCGACTGAGCCCCAAAGAAGTAAAAAATTGGGGGAAGAATGAAAGCGTACACGGACTGTGGTCAGTATCTTAATGCTGAAAAAGGTTTGGGAAGATTTTCTTCAGATTGAGCTCATCTCGAAGGGAGAAAAGAAAGTGATTTTAATGAGCATGTGCGGTGGTATTGTCATGGTATGGGTGATACACACACACATGCACACACTCTTACACATGCATATATGTTGATTCTATGCATATATATTAGGTTACACACATTATATATTTATAATTAATATTTAACATAATATAATAATTAAAAATATAATCATTGCAATAAACCTGTGATGTATTACTTGTCCATTTTAATGACGAGGAGTGGAAGACTCAGAGAGTTGTCTGTGTAAGATCGTACGTGAGAAGAGTGGCTGACACCTATCAAATTCCAGAGACCGCTACTTTTCTGCTCTATATTAATGTCCAGAGGATACGGCAATTGAAAACGTTAAAAATCAACTTGTTTTTCGATATCCTCCTCCGCTTACTAGGAATGTGACGTGGCTAAATTCCTTAAGCTCTCTGGGCTTCATTGGACCCTTTTGTAAAATGGGGATCACAGCAATCTGACCGCTTGTCTAAAAAGTCCCCTGAAAAATTCAATGGAATAACGAAGTCAATGTACCGATTAAACTGTACCAAGTAACATCCAAATGTCATTGTAAAAGCACTGGACAAAAATAAGAACCCGCCGTCTTGTTCTTATGATTGTGCAAGGAAACCAAAGGAAATTACCTAAATTTAGCCAGTGACTTAAGCAAGATCAAAAAGAACAACACAAATATTTTTTATTGCAACTTAAGGAAAATACAAATTAAAAACCTCTTTGTTTACAACAGTGGGATGTTGATACTTGTTTAAGCTGGGCACAAGGCATTCTCACTACTTTTGTGTTTGAAAATTTCCATCATAACAAACGTATAAAAAATACTTCCTTGTTTGGCTCTGAGAAATTGGTTGGGATGGTGGTTAAGAACAAGAATTCAGTAGCCAGATGCCTGCGTTCAAATCTTTCCTCTGCCACTGATTAGCTGTGTGACCCTGAGCAAGTGACTGTACTTAAACCTCTCTATGCTGAATGGCCTCATCTATAAAATGAGGATAATTATAGTACCTACATGAAAGGCTTGTTAGAATGAACTATATTGATACTTGATAATCACTTAGTAAATTGTGTGTATTTCAGAAATAATATAAAAATCTTTTGTCTATGCTGAATGGCCTCATCTATAAAATGAGGATAATCATAGTACCTACATGGAAGGCTTGTTAGAATGAACTATGTTGATACTTGATAATCACTTAGTAAATTGTGTGTAAGTATTTCAGAAATAATATAAAAATCTTTTCGGTTCCGAATAGATACGATTATTTACATGGAATATGAGGCTCAGAAAGGTCAAGCAACTTACTCAGTGTCACAGAGTTAGTAGGTGCCTGTGCCTGGGTTTGATTCTGGGTCTGTCTGATCCCAAAAGCTTGGCTCTATGTGCTGTGCTGCCTCCCGTGGGGACCATGTGTAGATAGGTCCTAGCTTGGTGAATGGTAGATACTACATGTACCCTAGGGTTTAAGGGTCTCTTGGAGACCAGAAGGGTTACGGGGGTGGGTCTATTTGTAGGAGGCCCAAGAAACAAGTTCTTCATAGAGGCCAGCAGGAGACACTCTCTAGGGACTCCAGACTTCTCTGGAAGGGCTCTGAAGGGAGTCAGAGCTCCAGAGTGAAATAAACTTAAAAAAAAGAAGTAGGCAGCTCATGTAGCCTGCCTCGGGCATACATAAGGGGGAGGATGTTACAGGTTTACTGTCATCTCCTCTGGGGTAATGTTCTTATTCTTTATGAATCAGGTGGATCTGAGGAGTTTTGCACGGAGGAAGAAGTGTTGATTTCACATGATGTCGGGAGGAAACATGATCACGGGGGTGGCTTAACACGCACCCTATTCCTTAAGGAAGAATTAAGAAAAGCTTAGCTACTTTGACGCATGTATAGATTACGCAAGAATCTTCCAGTCCTTCTCAGTTTGACTGAAGTACATTTCTGAGGTTCAAAACTCAATAGTTAAATGCCACACTATGACGTTTTGATGTAAGCAGTGGGATTTTGCTGGTGCCTAGAGTTGGATTTTAATGACCCTCTGGAATCTGGTGGCCAGTCCCCTGTGATCTCTGAGAGCAGTACTGTAATTAACATCAGTATACCTCCTTCATAAAGGAGATTCGTGGGCATTTTCCCATGTGACCTCTCCAACAATTCTGTCTGGGGAACTACAGTTACCTCCATTCTAGAAGTGGGAGAAACGGAAGTCCAGAGATTATAAGACCGTGTACCACTGCATACTGGTTAGTGGTAGGTCCAGGACATGAGCCCAGGTATTTACCTAAACACTGGAGATACTTTCATGCTGTTCCATTGCTTCTGACCAAAAAGTAACCAATGTCTGATAGGAAAGATTGATCGTCTTAGTCCTTTTGGGCTGCTATAACACAATACCCTACACTGGATGGCTTATAAACACGATTTCTCACAGTTCTTAGAGACTGGAAAATCCAAGATCAAGGTGCAGGCAGATTCGGTGTCTGGAGAAGACCTGTTTCTCAGATCAGACACTGCCATCTTTTTGCTGTGTCCTCAACTGGCAGTGGGGGCAAGGGAGCTCTCAGCGGCCTCTTTCATGAGGGCACTAATCCCCTTCATGAGGGCTCCACCCTCACAGCCTAACCATCTCCCAAAGGCCCCACCGCCAAATACCATCACATTGGGTGTTAGGACTTAACGCCATTCAGTCTACCATATGGATGTTTATAAAAACAGATATAGCACATGATAGAAAATATGAGTCTACAAGTAAATGCCCAAAAGATAATTAACTCATTAATTTTTTTTGAAAAACAGCAACTCTAGATCCTTAGGGATAATATGCAGGTCATCGTTTTCTACCAGCCTGTTAATTTTTTTCCCCAGGCAGGCAGGCAGCTTCGCAAAGTTGTTCAATGGAATGGTTTGATAGGTCAAG